CACTTTTGTAAATGTTGTGTAAGTACAATAAACAACTTTTGAGCGTTCAATTTCTTGTCTAAGTCAGTGAACATTTGAAGAAAACGACTGTTTTTGCCTCGTCTATCAAATCAGACAACAATTATATCTTGTATGGTGGGCTAGACATTTGAAATCCTAAAACAGCAAACATGTGACATAAAACCAACAAACCTACATTTAAATATGGTCATAGCTTAACATGGTTACATGGAGGAATTATGCACAATTTGTTATTCATTTGAAAATACTTGAGTATGATCAGTCAAAGTCAACTTTAATGTCAATTTTTCTGTGTGTTTGTACAGACAGAGAGATCGAAATAACGTTTCCAACAATCCCGAATACTAAATACAATAATACAAATATGTATATCCTCTATATATACAATCAACAGACATTTACACATGCACACATTAAGATCACACACAATCAATATATAAAAAAAGAAATACCTCACCAATTAACACAGTAGAATGAGTTAGAGGAGTAGTCCACCTTCCTGATGGCTGTTTGAGGAATCGAATGTCCTAGATGCATGCAATTATCCTTTTAATTAGCAATAATTAGTTTTTGCATGCTGTTATAATAGGTTGGAGAACTTAATGTGAAGCTCATCAAGATGTAACTGGCTCTGTCAGTAAATATCATCAACTGTCATGCTAAATATCTCATGCCATTGTGCTGAAAAGCCGTCTACTATGCATCCTATCTGCGTGCATGTGTTTCTGCCTGTCAGAACTTGTATGCATAAGTGAATGTCATGGCCATTAGAGAAAACAAGTACAATGAAAAGCATACTGTTAAAATATAAATATGAAACTCATAAAATGTCTCAACGTTACACACATCTTTGAACAACCTCATGTGTTTGAGCCTTGCACTGTTTATCATGGCTAATTCAAACTATTACCTCACCTTGATGGCAAAATGTAAACATTGATCTTTTGATTACCTACTATGTACAGTAATCTGGCCATTAGCATGCAGCAGCATGGGCCTTACAATGTTTATTTCACCTTATTATTTCAGCTTTATAACTTGCATTAAAGGTCCCATGTCATGCTTTTCTGGTTATTACCCGTCCCCTTGTGTGTTATGTAGCTTTTTCTGCATGTAAACGGTCTGCAGAGTCACAAACCCTCAAAGTACACCCTGTAGCGAGTAAAACTCTAACACAGAAAATACCTGTCTGTGCTGCCCCAGAACGCCTCGTTGGAGATTTCTCTTTTTCCATTTCCATTTACTTCTTGGGTATAGTGACGTATTACGGGTATAGTGACGTATTACGGGTATAGGGACGTAACGTCCGCGCAGCCGTCACGTTTGGACCAATCCGCGGACTTCCTCACACACACACACTCGGCGGGACGTTGCAAGGCTCGCTGCTGCAAGGAGCGGGACACTGAGCTGGCTCACTGGTGTGGGGTCGGCGAGACACCGCGGAACTCAGCCTGGGCACACACACCTGCAGACGGCCACTGGGCTCACAGGGAGGGGGGGGGCAGGAGCTCCAACAAGCCGTGTAGGACAGAGAGTGAATACACAGACTATACAGAGATGCTGTTTGAGAAACCAATGTGAGTTTGGAACATTGAACAATATAAATGTATTATAGTAGACCTCAACAATGGAATTATGATCAGTAGAAATGGCCATGACATGGGACCTTTAATACACCAAACAGAAATAGCAATACACACACAGCTAACTTTACCAGAAATATCTTATATTCACATCTAATTCGATTTTTGTAGTGGAGACTCAGGTGTGCCATGCATCGCAGTTAATGTTTTACATTAGAACAAAAATGAGTTTTCTTGGCTGGTTTAGAATCAGAGCTGCACTTTAAGGAATATTATTATCCATGAATCACCTGCATGTCAGCTGTTTGGAATACCACAAAAAGTGTTCGAACAAGCGATGTGAACAATAAGTTGAACACATCTACCAAATAATATTACATAATATAATAGATGAAGACTTTTTGAGGGAGATTTTGTTAAGACTGGATTGGAGGAGCTTCTTCTTTTCATTTAGGCTCATGAATGTGGTGGTGACCTAAACTGCATTACATCAAAATATATGTATGTGATACTCTGATTTATGGAATTGTTTTCCATATTTCTGTACTAAAGATATGGAATAAAAAACGAATCATTTTTGTATGACCACTAAATTGGATTTAATTGCAATCATATTACAGGTATTAAAGTGATTGATTATAACTTTTTTATCTTTTCTAATTAAAATATTAGGAAAGTAATCACATATTAAATACTGTGGGAAGGGGAATTCCAAGTTGTATTGAAGTGCAAAAAACACACCACACTTTTCTGTAATGTTTTGTATGCCATGCAGCATTCTCTAACCTCTCCCTTACAAATGTCCAACGCTTATACAAGCTGTAATGTTTGACCGCGCGGATGGAATGTCGGCTGAAGGTGGAAGCAGCGGTGTTCGATCTCAGGCTGGCCAACGGATGTGTTGATGTTGCAGAACAAGATTTCTGTAGGCTACCACTGTTATTGACCTTGCATATGACCATAAGATCAAAACCTAGGACTGTGGCACTGCAGGGGTGTCTGGAAATTCACCACAAAATAGTTAATAGATTTCGCTGCCCTGGAACAGAGCAGTCAAATTAGCCTAAAGGCTGTTTTGAATATGATATGAATATTATCACCTTATTCCTGGAGTCAATAGCAGTCAGTTGATTGCAGGTAAACTTGTGTTACATATTCATTCAAGTCAGCAGAGTAACTATAATAGTTTTGTTTCAACCCCATCACCACTTCTCAGAAAAGAACAATCATTTCAAATGAAAAGGTTTGATCCAAGCCATGATGTCTATTACACCCAATTGTTTGCCATTATCCCCACTTGTCTGCCATTCAAATTCCTTAAAAGGGAATGTAGAAAAGAATATTCTCAGCATCAGGGGATCCGTGGCGTCAGTGATGTGTGATTCCATCCCAAAAGCTCCGCGGGGTACAGTTGTTTCCCCTGAATACAAAAGACAACGGCATCACAAGCAGGCTGCGGCATACCTCTAGCTGACGAAGGCAGCCAGAGCTGTCAGCGACATCACTCACGGCGCGCTCCCACCCTCCCAAACCCGCCACCGCCTATCCAAACTATCCCGCTGGAATAGTAAATAGTACGGGCCCGTATCTTTTCTGTTAAGGCTGGATATGAAATATTGCATGCAGAACGGTGAGGCACTGAAGGCTGTTGAAACAGAACTGCTGTGAGTTCAAGCTGTGTGAAGTCACGGAGCCACAGACTTCCCTTTCATTTGTAAAATACGCTAAGTTAAAGACAGCTTCACCTATGACTGCAGAGATCATTTAAAGTTGAGGAGGAGAGAGAAAATCTGGCAGCGATTCAATTCTTAATGTGAGTGTTTCTGTTTGGAACATTTATTTGTGTGTGTCAATATGTATGCTCGTGGAATAAGAAGTTCATGGTAATAGCATTACCTCATCAAAAATGACAGTACCCTGAAAAGATATTACCAACAGCAGAAAATACTCGGAGAGAGATTGAGTCAGGGCACAGCCGAGACTTGGCTTGGCCCTTTTGTGCAAGCTCAGAGAATGAGAAAGCAGCATCCATTTTTGCCTTAATGAAGTTAGTGACCCTCTGAAAGGTGACACATTTACCGCCCAGGGGATTTATACACTCCTGCTCCAAGGCTCCAGTTCAATATTGAGAGGACAGATTCCACGTGGGCACTCCAAATATATCCTCACAATTTATACCAGGCGATTCATTTTCAGACACTGCTCTCGTAATTAAAGTTGACGCTGTGCTATTCAATCTGAGAAAATTATTTTGTGCATTTGGCCGTTATACAACCTTTTATTTTTTGGAGTCCGGACTGGAATCACTGATGTAGGGTAATCAGAAAATGACTTTTCATTTAGTAGTATTACATCTACAAGGTGGCTAAAAGATTTGCAGATGTTTGTGGAATAGAACATGCAGAAGTTGTGTGTGTGTGTGAAGGAAATAGTTGTCCCCGTGTACTGGGGTCTAAGACCGCTTAATTATTTATGGGATACTTACTTATGCAAATATACTAAATAATTTCTACATGACAGCTTGAAGCTGAGGCCTAGAGGAGCGATGTGATGTTTGAATGAGGACCCCTCTTTCCTTTGCATGGCCTAGGAAACATAACACTGCAGGCTCCTGGTTGCCTTGGTGCACACTGTTTTACATTCTAATTATCCGGCTTGACAGGCTTTATTGCTGAGGCTCAATGCTGAGGCCTCATCCCAGACTCATTCCACATGTGATGTCAGCACCGGGATAATGGGATAAGATAGTGCTTAGCCTTGCCCAGTCTCCTCCTTGTTCACTTTTCAGATTTGACTTGCAGTTCATATCTGCAACCTAAAGGCTGCCACAATTGACCCGTATATTAGAATTGGCTTAAAGGATCCTGGTATAATACTTTGTTTCCCCCAGCTCTTCCTTTTTGAGGTTTCTTATTTGACCAGATTTATTTTGGATTCTGAAAGATCAGAAGGGTTGAAGGTGTGCCTCTTTGACAGTGATTAAAATAAACAATGCTTTGTTAAGATGTTCATAACATATTTAACACCGCAAAGCCAATCCGAGACACAAACAGCGAGACATTTTGTTCTAACAATAATTAAGCTACAGGGAATTCCTTGCATATTGTAGGTAAACAGACAGAGTCATGGGAACGCCGATGGAAATGAAATGCTCTGTTGGTGTTTTTCTCATTACAAGATGAAATGAAACATTTATCACTGACTTTCATTCCATTAGAAGGCTGACATTTTGTGGGTCACACTGACAAGGCGACAACTTTCTTGTATTTATTAGGATTCATGAGTTTATGCGCTGCTTCTACAGCACCCCTGCAAAGTCATCGCGTTTCTAGCTGCACTCTCTGTATTTTCTGACCTGTTAGATTAACTGTGTTGTTTCCCCTCGTCTCTCTTTATGTTTTGCAGCCATCGAGGTGAACCTACAGAAAGCCTTGGCTGAGGCCTCTGAGACCTGTACCCAGGAGTGTCTGATACTGGGCCACTCCGACAGCTGCTGGATGCCCCCAGCCCTGGCCCAGTTCCAGGGTCCTGGCATAAACAGCCCCACCTCCACCCCCATCACCAGCGCCATCATCGGTACAATGCCTTCTTTTGGCTTCCAGCAGAGCTGCGCCCGGGGAGCCAAAGTTAACATGATCGGCATGGGGGTCATGGATGGTCGCCATACACTGGGCAGGTCTGTGCCCAAAAAAGATGATCTGGAAAAAGGGATCAACCGGCCGCAGTTCTACAACACCCTGGATAGACACTGCAGTAAGAAGGAAGACCTGATCAAAGTGATACCACTGGCGAGCTTCTCCTCCCATGGGCAGCAGACGCCCACTGGCGTGGGCAGCAGCTCTTTCTTACACGAGCACCAGTTGTAAGAGTAACAGACAGATCTTCATTAACCTGACATACATTTGACTTTGAATCCATAGACGGCTTGTGACTTTATTTATCAGTATGCGTACGCGTGGAGGTATGCATAATCTGAATAACTTTGACCAGCTCCAGCTCAGTTCTACTAATGAAGACTTCTGAGAATGGATTTGATCATGAAGATGTTGTTCAGACAAAACCACATGGGATCAGTCTGACAGCTAAAGCAGTTGAAAAAAAAAATGTAAGTCTTAACATAGCAGGCCCATGTATATTAAATAAAGGTAGTTCTATACCAAAGTAGTTCCATTGTAGAAAAAGATAATTTTGCTTTAGTTTGCTGATGTGTGCTTAGTGGTAAGAAAGGGCAATGTACGCTTGGGCCCAGCTTAGTGGGACTGTGTCCTAAAAAAAGCATTTCTTTGTGCAGAAACTCTTACAAATATACTCTGTGTTGAGTGAGCTAAATTGGGCTAAATGTTAATTATGAGCTCTGAGTGGATGGTGTTTCTGTTCAAGTTCTAGTGAAGTATTGCTCTGTACAACACGCAGCACAAACTCCTTTGGTGGTGGAATTTTTTCTTTTGTCTTGCCTGAAAGTGTTTCAGGAGTCTATTTTGGTCAGGGGACTGCAGAAGGATGAAAAAAAGTCTACAAAGCATAACTAGGCCAATGGTAGACAACACCGGTAATCTTTTGCATTCTACATTTTCACCATGGACCAGCACACAAAATGAAACCGAAAAAAACTCCTGCATGTCCACACTTGCACAAGATGTTTCTCATTGGGTAATTGCTCCATCTCTGCCAACTCTATTAAGAAAATGTTCACTTCTTGCATTATCTCAGCAGCTTAGTCTCAAAAGGCACAGACAGATGTGCTTTGTTTCCTTCCCTTTGTTTCTATCTTTCACATATTGCTGCTCAGAAACACTCACATACCATAATAACGGCTATGGAGCCAATTATAAAAAATCTCTATGTAATTATGTTGATGTGTGATGTCAGTAGCGACCCTCGTTGTGGTTAGAAGGTCTGGAATGGTTCTCTTGACTAGCTGGAAACATGCTCTGAATGAAAAGGTGGCAAGCACTGAGAAAATACAGCTTAAATTGCACCCTATCTTCTCACCATATTATTAATAACACCTTTTGTTCTTGCTATTAATTACTAGTGTGTGTTTCTACAACTCATTTGTGCTGCAACGTTTTTTTTATCAGTTTTTACCATGTGTAGACATTGGTATAATAGATCAGGGTACAAACATTTTTTAGCGCCCTAGTCTAACTGAATTATTGATTTTAATATTATTGTTTGCAGTTATAAAGATAAGCATTGGCACAATTTGAAAGGACCTCCCTGCAGGCTGCCTATCGCCATGACTTCCTCATGCATACACTGCCTATCTGCCTGTGTGTGTGTGTAAATTGTACTGATGATGATAACTGCTGTAACAGATTGAGTGCAGTATAATCTATTGCTATGGAAATAAGTGACTTTGCTGATATCCATTTTTCTTTCAGTAAAATCCAAGCCAGATGTCTACATCATCAGGTGTATGATTCATGCGATTAATTTTCCCGTACCATCTTGCAAATTGGGAACAGGCCTAAACCTATAATGCAACGTGGCATTCTCTAGGGAATGGCGCAGGGTAATTTGTGTTTGCTTGGTCTTAGCAACCACACCTATTCTCTCTTTCATTTTGGGTCAGGACTTATCGTTATAAGAGGATTTATCTGAGAGTCAGTAAAATGATCACTTAAAGGAACATTGTTTCAAGGACACGCAAACAGGGCAATTCAATTTCACCTCAGTCAATTACGAAAATGAATTTAAATCAAAACGAGCAACAAACAACTGTGGATTGAAAATGTCCCACTATGGGAATCCAATTTCAGCTCATTTATTAATACCTTGTTTTTCCTCTTATCGCTTTTAATCTAATTTCCTTGTTATGATATAGACATGCATCTCCTAATGGTATGAATAATACATATTTGTAAAAAGCAGCACATATCAAGAAAAAATACAAACTGATATCACTGAAAAAAGGAATTGTGTGACTGACAAATGCAAATCCAACCCTCTCTTTTTTAATCCTAATGTTGCCTCAAAAAGTATTTTCAGCCTGTTTACAATCATGAGAATAAGTAGGGCAAACTAATTCCTGGTTGGATCTTTTCAACAAAAATAAAGAATAAAAGAACAATTAGGTTTTCATTCATTAACAATAACAAGGACAGACAGTTTCTGCTGGAGAGTTTTTCAATAGTACACATAAAGGGAGAGAATATCCATGAAATGTATACAAAATAAAACACAAAAATGTGATTGTTTGAAATAATGTATCCAGTCACATGTGTACAGTAAGCACATAATTACTTATCTGTAATCCACACTGTGTTTTAACTCACCTTGCCTACATAACTCTTGTGTATTTTAATAAATCCGCTACATTAATTAAAAGACATCTTCTAGAAGGAATAGATTAAAAACTGCATGAATGTACGTATTTAGGCTGTTGCTTTTATTACAAACATGACGTTTTGGTCTACTGCAGTCCTATTTTGTTTGATCATATAACCGTCTGGAGGCAAAAGTGCCGGTGCTTGATTCATTTATTTTTCAAACAAAGAGCATACCATATGAATGTGCATTTGTTTTTCTGGGATGATGCTCCCCTGAGAGTAAGTAATGTCGCTCTGTGTCAAAGGTTTTCATCTTTCACAAAACACACAGTGAAATAGATCACAGGTGTCCACTTTGCATGATTCTGCTCTCACTGTTATTTTCCTATTTTTCTGAGTCACTCTGCCCCAAAAGCAAAAGATAGTATACATAAAACTGAAGATAGCTTTTTCATGTTCAGAATGTTTCTATTCAAAATGTGTGTCATGATTACCATGTCAATGTGTCTCATGATTTGCATGAACTGTTTGGACCTCCACAAGGTGTTTCTCGACACTTGACTATGTAGTTCATGCATCCATCATTATATTCAGTGTCAATATTGATGTTTACTGCTCTACCTGTTTGTCTGTCTTATGGAAGAAAACAAATGTTACACGGTGTAAACATTCAAACTTTGTGAAGTGTGCGTACCACTTATGCCTCTACGTACACACACATATCTATCCTGACAGGTAAACTGGATTTTAAACTGTACATAGCAGTACCCCTGTGAACTACTATAATGAACACAACATGAAAATACATACACAGTAAAGAATAAAAAAGCGACAGGATAACAACTGGAATTCACTATGTTGATAAAAAGGTAAAGGGGAAACCATAAGAAATGATGAGATGACGATCTCTCTTGTAATGTAAATGAAAACATATGCATAATATTGATGGGAGTGTGATTGAATGTGTTTATAGGTGATCCTGAGAGAATGTGTGTGTGTCTCCTTGCATGTATGAGCGTGTGTGTGTGTGTGTGTGTGTGTGTGTGTGTGTGTGTGTGTGTGGTGTGTGTGTGTGTGTGTGTGTGTGTGGTGTGTGTGTGTGTGTGTGTGTGTGTGTGTGTGTGTGTGTGTGTGTGTGTGTGTGTGTGTGTGTGTGTGTGTGTGTGTGTGTGTGTGTGCACACATATGTGTACTGGTATGCACCTTGCCAGGATATTTTATGTACACAAATGTATCTTGTATAAAAACGATATCAAAATATGATATAAGACTTAAGTATATGCTTGTAATTGGTCATTGGTGAGTAAGTTCAAGTTTTGCTTTGACAGAAGGCTTCGATTGCTTGCCAGCAAATCTGTATTGGTTAGTTAAAGCTATACAGTCTGTGTTGTCATGCCTTTGTAAAATATCCCATTTAAATCTATGAAAAAAATGACCTTCCATATGGTGAAATGATTTTTCTTGTCATTGAGTTTTACTTGAGCCATTAAATATTGAGTCCTCAAAGAATGCACGGATCACGCTTGTCCTTCACTTTACATTGTTGTTTGATTAGGTATTGCTGAGAGCATTGTCATATCAGTGATAGATGTGACATAAGGGCATACTGTCACACTATTCAAATTATGGCAATTACAAGCTAATGATATAAGACCCATCAAATTGGACATGGCATTTCACCTTCATCATTTCTGAAAATGAATACTGTACCGCTGGGAAAATAACTCAACCTATGACATATGTGTATATTTATGTGAAAAAAGAAGAAAGGTAACTCTTATTAAACACGGTAAGTAGCACAGATACCATGAGGAGTATAGGCTGAAGTAGGGGTTACTTTAACATCTCAAATAAAGCACTGAGCAGCTTTGTTCTTCAATATTTGAAGCAGCTAAGGGTTTAACATGCTAGTTGACCAAAACGTAATGGTGTAATTGCAGCCAACAAAACACTCTGTTTGTCCTTAATACAAGAGAAATGCCACATTGCAGCTGTTCAGTGTTCAATTGCCATTATAGTGACATACTGGTTACATACCAGTGTATAAAATAAGGGCGCAATTTCCCTAAAGTCAGCCATAGATTTCCAAAGAGCTGTATACATTTTTTTCTCCACCGAACATGGACCCGAGTTACCCAGCAGCAGAGTGACCCACGATAGCACCCAACTGTCCCTCAAAGCAGCCATATCCTTGATCTTAAGCCTTAATATAAATTAAACGGGTGATTTAGGGAAATAAAAATACTCAGTTTTTGGTCTCCGCCAATTCCTGATAAAATATAGTATTGGCCACTAAATGTTCCACATCTGGTTGCCAACTTTGTTGTTTGCTGCTGTGTAGCTGGGCATACCGAGATTTCAAAACAGCTGCTCACAACAAATATAAAAGGCCCTTTATTTTAATTATGCTTTATTGTTTGTAGTTTGTGTACAACCAAAACCATTTAAATAAAACATCTAAATTATTAAAATGTGTACATATAGAATAGATTATTGGATTTATACTTAAAAATAAAGTATTCAAAAACAAGGGAGAAAGAAAATAGATGAAAAATAAATAAATTCACACACCAGAGTCCCAGGTCTTATTTATATCCTTGTGTACCCACCCCAACATACATTCAGCCGCAGAGGATATACACATGTATGTTTACATGAGAGTAAATCAAACTAAATATAAAATTAATAAATCGTCTAAAGGGCACTCTGATGGAATCTGTTTAGGAAGGGCATAAGCACTCATCGATCAATTCCCACATTTTTGATTTGGTACAAATCAATGAGCTTCCCGTCACAAGGTCGTTCCTCTCCTCATTATACTGTTCAGCCATTATCATACCAGAATGGGCCAAAGGCTCTAGGAAATAGCCTATACATTTCAGAGGAAAATCAATAGAACACAATAAACCTTAAATTTAGCATTTTGGTTCTAAGGCCAAGAACTTAATAGTACACATTTAAGCCAGGAATAAAAAGAAGAAGAATATTTTAATTTATGTGTCATGACTCTCCTGAATGTCAACTTTGATTCTTTGTAGACTCACTGTGCATTATAATCTCACAGCACCTTCGGTAATATCTGGATGCTTTCTATTGTACCTGTCGTTATGTGACCTCACGTACAGTAAAGATATAGAAAGCTTTGTACATTGCATTTTAGTTGTTTAGTTTTCCTTATTTTCCTTTTTTTGGCCATTGCTTGTTTTATAACTTTTTGTGTATCCATCCATCCATCCATCCATGTAACCCACCCCTCCATCACTCCTTGTGTCCATCCATCCATCCATGAGCTTTGATGCCTCAAAGGCAAACTCTGCAACAGTTTCGACAATCCCCCTGGGCAACGTGTCCTACCCGAGGCCCTTCTGCCTTAATGCTTTATCCACTGTGCTCTTATGAATACAAGCCTTCAGAGGGGAAACTTGAAGCTTACAGTATGGTGCCGGGGTGGATGTTCACAACAACAGGACATGACAGGATATTTTGGCACTGACTCGTAACTTGTGCGACACAAAGAGACATGTCCTGTATCTCGTAACGTGCCAAAGGCTTGCTGGACTGTCATCTTGCCTCATCTTCAGCATATGTTCAGTCCCCAATCTCCTTAAGAGAGCCGGCTGTGACCTGCCCCATTGCTTTTCCATGGTAATTGGCTAATAATGAGACAGTGGCAGTGCAGAGGATGTCGACACTGTCAAAACATGTGCATACACAAATACACCAATCTGCATTTCCAGTAATTACTGAATATTTAAACAGAAAGGACTTTGTGATTTTAACAGCACGCTGAGTGCTTGTTTCTTTTCTCACCCCACACACAAACCCTCCATCCCCATGTGCTAACAAGCCAACTTATTGTAAGCCTACTTAGTTCTCAAGGTGTCATCTGTTGAAGTGTCAGGAGAACATATAGAGATTGTCAAATAGTACACTCATTTCAAATTGTAATTAAACTGGCCATCAGCTACCTTGAGGCTGTTTAGTCAACAGCAGGGCACTAATTACTATAAGATGACCTTTGGAATAATATCTGGTGAATTATTCATAGTTGAGGAAATTGCTTCGGAGACATGCCAACGACATCCAAGGGACGGTAAGTGTACACACACAGAACATTCCACTCAAAGATTTCAGCTTTGCCATGGAATGAGGTCAGCAGACGGATGAAACTGTAGCTTTTTTGTGTTAGAGAAATAGAGATGGTTTTGATAAGCCCTGAACGACAAATGAACATTTTCTGAGCAAAAAGACGAATATTACTAACCAGAAAATAGACTGACTCATGTAAAGTGAATGTACAATATTTTGGAGAGAGAAGATAGTTTTGTCACAGGGTGGCTCAAGCAGCAATAGTATCCTGCTGTGTTGAGACTTTTCATGGTGGACTTAACTTTTCCGATTGTGCTGGTGATTCTACGATGGTTTAACATGACAATAAACATATTTCCTTTCAAGTCAGAATGCAAACTGAAAAGATTAACTGTTAAAAAAATACATATTGTTAATTAAATGCAATGAGATGAAGATATGGGGAAATAAAGAGAGAAGAAGCAGTGGCAAACACTTTTCAACAAAGTCCTCCTCCTGTGGTGACTTTCAAAAACCACCAACAGCATCTACTCCCGCCTGCTTTAAATGTTTCCCATGGTATTCTGCACAGAGAGGGCAGAGGTCGTTAAATGTTTTCCTTCCATCTCAGCTCAACTTTAGGGGCACTCTGCAGAAATTACTCCGGAGACCTTGCACAAGAAGTCTCCACATCTCCATTTGACATAAATACATAAACAGCGGTGAAAAGATTCGTCAAAGCTACTGCAACATGTGGAAGTCACCAAATATGAACTTGTTGAGAAATATAGTTGATGTGTTTTTAAATCAGTGCTGCAGGCTGTAAGGCAAAGACTGATTTTTTAAAATGGCGACTTCCAGGTTGCCAGTGTCTCTGTTATGAAGTCACAAGTAGTCACCCAGTGGACTGAGCACGATGACAATGATGTTAACCGTATGGCCAGGCCCTCTGAATAGCCTCATTCAGCATGATCGCAGTTGAGTATTTATGGGAGGTTGAAAAAGGGTCAGAGAAAGTGCTCTTCACTGCCATCATAAAGGACCTAAATGATTAGTCAAAATGTGGGGTAATTGGTAGTAATTAACATTGACCTTGTCCACTTGGACATTAGAGAACTGAAGCCGGGCCAGAAAATCTTCCCCTGCCATTAGAGAGCAATTACTGACTGCAGACAGTAGACCATATGGCAAAATAAAGTCCATGCAGCTGTCTATCTTCTAATGTGTACACTTCTGATGTGAGAAGATGTGCAGAAGTACTAAAGGCCAAGGCCATTAATGTTTATGTACTTCAAAGACACTTCTGTAAATGGCAAGAAAATGTTTTTTTCTTTTTGTGTGATAGTTGATGCTAACGGTACTTCTATAATGTCCTGCACTGCCGTTCCCAGTGATCAAAATGTCTGCAGTACAGTGCTGTCCTTTTTCCTGAAATAGTTTTAAATACTGTAATTCACACTTGCCAGATGACTTGTCCTGCTAAGAACGAGAGACCAGACCCAGAACAACTAGCTTTAATGACAAAACGGCTTCAGAAACTCTTTTTTCAGGGTTTCAGTGTAGACATGGAATGAACATGCAGGTCTGTAAGACTGTCCTTAGTTACAGCAGTGCTTTGAACTAAATGCAAACATCAGCAAGCTTACCTGCTTACAGTACAGTGAGACTGTCAACATGCTGATCACAAGATTTCAACATTAAATATTCAAGTTTGGAAACGCTCTATTATTTACATATGCTTATTAGCATTAAACACAAAGATGACTGTGATATGAGTGTCATTTAATTGGTATGTATTTGGTAGCATAACCTTAAATACTGTACATGTAGCACATTTTATGGCGACACATCGATAGGTATAAAGATATTTACTTCAAAATAAAAAAATTATGAATGAAAGATGACCAAAGAACTCCCAATTGAAAATGCAAGACAATTAATTCAAACATGTTTGATATATTTCATTCTGCAACTAAGTGGTGGCCTGACATCATTGCCAGCCATAGAGCCATGCCTTAAGCATAAAATAAAAATAAAAATATATATTTATCATGCCTCAGCAACAAACAAAAAAGTCCAAGGCAAAACATGACACTGTTGGCTTGCCTGATGGTATTAAAGAGAAACTTAGTTCATATCATGCCCCTTTCGCAGTGAGGAAATAGTTCAGAGAAACTGCTTTTACTGCAAGTTCTTTGTGCGAATCTAACGACGGTATCACAGGGCAGCCACTGTGCCTGACAAGTCTGTTCACGTTCAGCACACACGCAGCTTTCCTGCCGTTAAGGCAGCAAGTCCCTGAAGCTCTTCCTCCATGGAGTTTATTGTCAGAGTCTCACCGATGGTAGGACGCCGCTCCCTCCTCTTTGAAATCCGGAAGATCAAACAAAACAACAGTGTTGATGCAGGGTGTGTTGTGTTTGTGGTTTGAATATATAATC